TGTAGCGGTAGAAGAAAGCTAGATCGCAGACGGCCCGCCGGTGTTAGAGAAGGATCATCGATCAGTCGGACAGCCCTCCTGTGAACAGCAGTGAGCATAAATAATGTAGTCAGGGCGGCATCACCCCAAACGTGTAAACAATACTCGAGGCTAGGTCTTATCTGGGCCTTGTATAGAGTGAGAATGTTATGCGGATAAAAGTACTTGTCAGCCCTAAACAAATATCCTACCTTTTTCGTAGCAGCCGCCTCTATTGACAAGATGTGATCGTGCCAGATCGCAGAACTCTGCCATCTATCAAAACCTGATGGGCACTTTTTGTTCGTCAAGGTACAGTACTGTTTTTAGCATGCAATAAACTGTACAAGAGTGTTGCGTCTCCAATCAGTGATAACGTCTAGGTCTCTCGTCAGAGAGGAAGTCGTCCCTGGTCTTATCTTTTCCAGTTCAGCGACAGAGATCGGCTTGTCGCTCTGAATTCCTGCATGTAGAGTGCTGTCATCAACGAAGCTGTGAATTAGGTTGCTCGTACCGTAAAGAAGGTCGTTGATATGTAAGAGGAACAGTGTCGGAGCCAAGACCGATCCCATCCTGGGGAACACCCACAGCGTCCAGAAGCCGGTGCCTAACTTTTATATCGTGCTGGTCTTTGGCATTGCGAACCGCTTCGTTATAATTCTAATGCCAAATTTAGCTACCTGGGCGAGTTTCTGCTACCATAGCGGGTTCTGACCGAAGCCTTCACACTTCAACTGCACGACCTGCTCCATCGGTCTTGTTTGAGCTCAACCAAAGCTCATCATGGGCATTGATGCTCAGTCGATCTTGACCGCGAAGTATTCAAGTAGGTCATCCTAGTTATGGTCTGAGGGACAGCGATAAAGGCGGCAAATAAATTTGGGAGATATTTTGGAGTTGAGGCAAAACCACACCATGTCCTGATTCTAAAGAAACACGTCTCTGGAGCAGGACAGCCAGCTGTGGACAAAAGCCACAACTCGCCCGTTCTTTCTCAGATTTGAATGCGCCTCGTAATTTAGGACGCTAAGATGGTTAATCGGTTCAGACCCTGAGAGGTTTGGTTCCTCCAAGAAAAACAAGGCGAGACGATTAGATTGCAAGTATGTAGTGATGAACAGTATCAATGTTGCTGTTAATCCCGCAGATGCTTGTGATACAAATTATATCTTCGATGTTGTTCACCCTCCACCCCGATATTCCGAGAGTGGAGTTAGTTTACGTCCGGAATTTTTAGTACACGAGGGATCCACCATCATTAATTTCTTTGTTGGGGAAAGTAAGCGACTGCATAGCTTAGGTGTAGTTGACTGGTCATTGTCTACCACCTTTTTTTTATTCGTGTTAATGATGTTAAATAGATCTAAAGTGGCCCGTTGGTGGACTTGTACCGCCACCATGCAATCGGTGCTGAGGTATTCCTTAACTTGAACGGGAAGAAGTTGTATAATAAATACAGAAACTTCCTGAACAAGCATTTGACACGGTCGTGCTCAGTAAGAATAGCTAACCATAAATATTCTAACATCAAAAAATTGAGACATACCCTTTTCCAACCTCTAATTTTCCCCCAAACGAAGTTTGAGCATTTTTTATTTTTGACCTTCTTCTTCGCCACCACTGGATCGATTCTCAAAACCGACAAAGCGTCTAAGACCATGTCACAGTTACTACTATGCCATGGTTACTACATTGTGTAAAAATTTCATCCAAACCCGAGAAGTAACTTCCAAGTTATAGAGTGGACAAGGATTACCGGACAGACCGACAGACTGACAGACAGTCCCCCGAAAATCAGTAACATGGTTGTTCGTGATGTACATGTCATATAGAAATCAAAAAATACCATATCTCGTTTTCTAAATGTTTCGCGATTACAATACTTTGTAGTGGCTTTCGATTTGAAAAACGAAAGTTGACCTTGAAATAATCTTGAAGGTAAAGGTACAACTCAAATTCAAGATCACCACTGAACTCCTTGATTTGATTTTTTTATACTCATTTATATATGTGACAGGTGGCAGAAGACAGCATGATGGTACTGCAGCGGTCTCATGCACCTCTAACAAATGCGAAGGATACGGACAGCAACAGTATTCGCAAACTATATCTTCTTCCCACGAGAAATTGTCAACTCTCAGGTCTTTCTTCGGTGAAGTTGGGTTTGCATCTTAGTTAAAATAAGCTCGGAAGGCCTCCAGGCATGGTTCCAGAGGTATCTGTACTGATGAAGTTCGCCATATTGCTGACGTTAGAGAGTCAGTACATAAATATTCTCAAAAAATCTGAACCATCCTGGAGAAAAATTTCAATTTGTCATATTTTCAGTCTGCATAATTATAATCGCATTGTCACCAATCACATGTACCTGGATCCGTAACAGTCACATATCATCTGCCTCCTTTCCATTCGCAGTTTAACTTTCGGAGATGAGTATCTAGCCTGAAAGATCGTAAACTCGTTTTTCAAATTCTGGTTAACCGACCCGTAATTGTTGATGCAGTAACGCTGCTTCTACAGTCTGAAGGGGCTGCTGTAGTAACTTCTACAGCGCCCTCCGTAATGTCCGGTATTTGTCGGTGTATGTTAGATGTCACTATAAAGCAAAATAACCTATGACATTGCAGGTTAACCACAACTTTCTAATTATTCCATAAGTGATCCTATGGCTGAAGCAAACTTCAGTCTTAAGACATTTTTGACAATGGAAAATGCTATATGAGAGTTAACTTCTGCTTGACGGTTATGCAATAGTGAGTGACAACCGGGACTAATGTATTCAACTGTATTTTTTGTTTGACGTATGATACTTACCCTCTAGTTTGATAGAACAGACGTTGAGCCACTTCTAAATAATTAATATTCGTTGATAACATTTCGGATCTGCTGGAGATCTAATTTGAAACAAGTACGAAGTTCAAAGATGAAAAATAATCGTATACATTTGGTACTTTATTTTTAAATATTCAGACTATCAAGTAATATTCGCCTGCTAGCGCTAAATAACATGCACACATTGTGTGCATAATTCGTGACTCTTCGTTGCGACAAATATTAAATACAGCGATATCTCAAAACCACCATAGTACTGTGACAAACCAGTCCAAGCTGCGACGTTGAATATCTACACTGAATAACAACAGTCTTGTTCTCTCAATTCGTTCTTTGAAAGATACTGAATCATATGGCGCCAAAGTCAATTAAGAAATAGAAAAAGAATCCCTATATAATTTTGTGTGGGCAATAATAAAATGTGAGAGAAATAATAAACTAACTTGAGCAATGATACTAATTTATAAATATCAACTATAGTCCGGTACCTATACGGAAGAGAGTAGCAAAAAACACATCGTACGCCACTGTCAATGCGGCGTAGCTTTGAATATTGCGGGATCCGCGGACGCTTTTTTGTTTTGCATAGAGTATAGGTATTCAACATCGAATATTACAATAGAGTGCTATACCTAATGAAGCCAGAACGTGTGAACGTCCTCAATTTAGCTTTTATTGAGCAGAAAATCAGAAAATGGTATTTGGTTTAATGGCAGGATAGGATCATAAAAATAGTTGTTTAAGAAAATATCTAGCATTTGCAAATCAATATTTAATGCCTTCGATAATGATTTATTTATGTAATACCAGCAGTACTTAAATACATATATCTAAAACTAAACTAATGGTAAATTCGTGCAATTATTACATTTATACATGTTGAAAAAATCTGTTTCCTTGAAATAACATATATGTTCAAAGAACGAATATGTCCCTTGTACCAAAACTTTTGGACTGGTATAGCATCTATGAGAGTGATTTTCCCTAGTTTTTTCAATGATTACAAAAACTGGTTAATGTAACAACTTACAGTAGTCTCTGCTCTACAGATGTCTTAAAGTAAAACAGCTTTGATTTCAACATCGTGCCATCAAAATCCATTCTGGTACGTGAAAGTTCCAGATTCAAAACAATATCTGATACTGAACATTTATGTTTTGAGGGTTGTTCTTGTTTTTATGGTATTTTCAGCATCTTATTCTTATCTGGCCCACAAGATAAATATTATCTTATGTTCAATCTGACCATTATACGTCAGGTTAAGTAGCCAAAATTGTTCTAGAAGAAATTTCTATCTGGAGATACAAAAAATTCTGCTGGGTAACTTTTTTATTAAACGTCATATGTTGGAAATATCACTCTTTCGCGTATATTCAAGAAAAGGAGGAAGGAAGTATAGGACTAAGCGGTCTACGGAAGAGTTGTAAAGGATACAAAGGCCTTGAAAACGAGACATATGTCCAGTTTGCTGCGCGGGAAACATACGGTTAACATAAAAAAATTAGTGGCAATTATGAGTTTTAGCAAATTTTGAGCATTTTTGATCATTTTTTCAGGATATCGATCGCCACATAGAAATTAAGCTTTGGCTGATACTTGTTTTGTCTTGTGAACTTTTTAGTAAAATGATAAATTGGTAAATCAGCATTTTTTATTAAAGTATTCACTGCTACAGCAAAATGAAAATATGAAGCTTTATTTTGTGGGTATTCTTATGTTCTACAACTTTCCACTCAAGAAGTCTTACTAATACGTGATACAATTTTTAATTCACGGGAGAAACTCCGACGGTTAATAAAAGATGTATCTCAGGATGAGAAATATTCTCATTTACCCTCAACAATATATTATTGCAGTGAAATCCTCTCGATACATTCTTTTCAGGGATTCTAGATATACCAGACATCACATATAGTTCGACCGCAGCGTGTACAAAAAGTATGGTTCGTCTCCTGTTAGATGGCACGATAGTGTTTTTCCACAAGCATTGCTAAAATGATTCGTCAACTTGAAAATCTCTAGTATAAAATATTACATGTACATTTTTCATTTTTCGACAAACAAAGGTATTAGATAGGTATCAGTTAAGCATTTATGGCACATTTTAAACTAATTACATAGAAATATACCAAATAGCTAGTACTTGCTCACAATTCTGGTAAGCAAAGCTTCAAAACAGAATTTAAGAAGGTTCCTTTTATATTTGAATGATTTCTAATTACTATTGTCATCCATAATCGTTTTAACTGGGTAACTTTACATCAGCCTTACGTTCTTCACAACTTTTACCATGACGTCTACCGACTAGCAGCTTTCTGCAGCTTCTGATACTTCCCAATAGCGTCCTGGACCATGGCTGCAGCTGACGCTATCTTTTCCGGTGACATCATCGCTCTGGCGTTTGCCTGGTTAATCCCGGTCAAACCCGGAAAGGTAATCTCGCAGATGGGAGTCATTGAGCACACGGCTGTCGTAAAGATGCCCCCAACAAGCAATAGGGCTGCGCCACCTACCAGGAAAAGCCCGAACTTGGCTAGGACACGTAGGCTGAATTGCAAGGCACTCTAGAAAAGAAAGGAGCTACTTAAATAGGGAAACATTTACTAACCGTTAGATCTGGAGAACTTAGTATCAAGTAATTAGCCTAAACACTACACTTCGTCTCTTTTACTTGCGACACAAAATCGATAATCCGTTTGCTTGGCGCACAATCTCAGAAACGCTTGCACCGATTTTGATGGAATTTGGAGAGCAGTTCGCTGTGTGGAAAAGGTGATGGTAGTATATATACATAATCCCGGCTGAAGCAGGAAATAAGCCTGAGCTGTTAAGAAAGTCTACAGAAATTGTAACAATAATCATAGCAATCATCTGAAGCACACATAAAAGAAGGTGCTGTTGATTCAAGAGCATGAGTTTCTATGAAATTATGATATTGATTCGAGATCACAAATACTTCAAATGAGATAATTTCGCTGAAACGTAGCACTTAAAATTGAGAAATTGAGCTTAATTCAAAGATATATGTCTTAGAAACATACCGCAGTCTCGGTCCTCAATTGAAGTTAGTTATTCTTCAACCAATATCTTACCCTTTTTTGTGTGCAGTGACGAGTACTCACTACGCCTGGACACTCCATGTACTCACATCGCTTACTTTTGTAGGATATCAAACTTTTTTGGCGGCTCTGGTTTATTCGCTGTTGCAATTAGTATTGGATCTACTGTACTATACCGATGAGGTAATGGTAAGGTTATGACATAAATCCAAAATTTCCGAAGTTACATTTCTCGTCGTGACTCAAACAATGGCGAGGTTACTAGAGCAGAAAGGACATTCAAAAATATTGAATAAAGTCCTTATAAACATATGTCTTGAATGTCCAACCACCAAGATACAGGGTGTTGTAAATTGCTACGCCACTGATAAGGTAAAACATGGATTGTTGAAATAATATTGTGGTCAGGAAGGTTAGCATGTTCTCAAAATCGAATTGGATGAGTTTTTATATGGATTTTGACTCAAATATTCAAACCAATTATTGTGTAGAATTATGTACCTTGTACCTGTTCAATAATGTATTTATTACATGTACGAAAAATGTAGTTGAAAAATTAGTTTTATATTTCCGTCTCTATGGGTTAAAATTTCCCAGCGTTCATGCAACCGGTCTCAGGCAAGAAAGATGTCGATATGCTGTTGGTACTACGTATGCAAAACTTTGGGTCAATATCTCAGTATACCAAAATATTTTTCCTATTTCGAAATTCCTCCCTTAATCACCTTGAATATTCATGTATCGCCAGTTGCTAATCAACTTATTACACATCACATGTTTGAAAACCACCACACGAAATTATGTCAAAGACAGTGACGTTTTATCCCAATACAAAGGATAACAAAAGACGGGGAAAACATATATTCTGGCAACAGATAGAAGGTAAGAACACATTACGCTTACTTGGAGCTGTATCCAGCAGAAAGTTTTGGTCTCATATCTATTGGAGCGAAGTAACCAAAAATAAAATTATCAAAACACCTTGAATGTTTCTCAAGTTCGTTAACATTTATTGGAATTTTTCAGGATGAATTGAACTCCCTCGGTAGTTACGTTCACTACTTTTTTTTTCCAGAAGTCGTACAAATTTTAGAGCGTCATTGTAGGAAATTTAAACTAAATGATTCTTTAGAGCACTTTTTTGTACATATAATAATTTTTTTGACCTATTATACCAGCATTGTATTATTTTTGGAGGATTATGTTGTTATTGTAGCTGAGATGGGTATTTAGACGTAGTGTACTCGAGCGTATCACAAAAAATTCTCTGTGGTAAGTAATTACAGAGAAGTACTTACCACTAGTTGTAGCACGATGGACACAGTAGACAGCACCTAAAGCGTTCATGAATATTACAGAGAGTACAATTCCGTATTTGCTGCTTGCTACGTAAAATAGAAATAATAAACTGAAACACTTTTTCGGTGAAAAGGAAATACAGGGTGTAAACGTTATGATTATCATTATTTAAATGGGTGATAGAGGGGGTTAAAAAAAGCAAAAAGTTTCATAGAACATGGGGGTCAAAAAGGCATTTTTTTATAGAAGTGCGACTTTAAAGTAAAATAAAAAATGACAACGCCGCAATGCCAGACGCAAATTACGACGGAACGCAGTGTAAATAAAGATGGAGTTTGTTATTTTTGGCTCTTAGGTATTATTTCATTATTTGATAATGTACTCGTAAAATGCAAACATTTAAAAAAACGGACTTACCACTAACTGTCTCAGCGCCTCACCTGGTATGTGAAAGTTTATTGAACGTATTAAAAAAATCCACTTATAAATAGGGAACACAATTTTTATACATACATTATTTTTCTTTTTAAAACCCAGACTGCACTTTTTTGTACTCAAAGAAGGTGTTCAAAATCGTCGTCCTCCACTTACCACACAAGCTTCATTACGACCTTCACGAATGGTATGAGGATTTTCTTGGGCCCACGTGTGAGTATTATGGAAAATTAATATCCCGTCTCGCTTAAACGTACATTCGTCCGTCGCTAGACTGTTTTTAAAAAAATCCGGATTTACAATGTTTTTGTGCAAAAACCACTGTCAGAATGTTAGTCTGCAAGGATAGTCTTCTGGTAACAAGGCCTGCACTCGTTGTACATGGTAGGGATAAAGCAACTTTTCCCGTAGAATTCTATGGACTATGGTATGCGATAGTCCTACGCCGCGGCCTAATTCCCGAGTGCTGATATCTGCATTGATTTGCACGATATTTAAAATTTCTTCCTCCTGCTCTACAGTAACCTATATTTCACGAGTGCGAATATTTGGTACACTTGCACAAATTAATGTCCTTCTGTCTGGGTGTACCCGTTGGCGAAATCTGTCGCGATAAATTTGAGCTGCAAGATTTGAATTCTGACTAGCTTCACCGTAAACTAACAACATGTCGGCGAACTCTTAATTCGAGAACATTGTAAATCAAAACGACGACGTACGCGAACAAAAACAAAACAACATACTAACCACTGTTACGGTTTGCGATCGATTGCCGGTTCGATAAGAGTGATAATTTAGAACAGTTTTAGATTAGATTATACAAATTGGTAAGATTGTGGTGATTGTGGTAGATATAAAACACTTAAAGTTGAAAACTATAAAGCCATTTAGACAAAAATCTATTGACTTTTGGACCATGGGTCATATGAACTGTTTGACTTGCTTTGACCCCTCCTATTACCCATTTCAATAATGACTATCATAACGTTTACACTAATGTCATTCTGCTGCTATATCTTTGTATATACTAGGCATAGGTTTCTTGAAATGAAACTTGTGAGCTCCGGTATATTTGGGATATAGGTGTTTAGATTATTAACCAAAAAACTAAGGAATAACTAGGACTCCATTGTCTGGCCGAATCAATGCCACATAGAAGCTTTATATTTCTGTTTATTGAACGATACTTCGACCTCAATAAACAGATATCTAAACATATACTTATGTGATCTTGATTCGGCTAGACAACGGAGTCATTTGAATACGAAAACCACAGGTTTAGTTTCAGGAGTTACATTAAGGGATAAATATTTACTTACTTATCCGCTTAAAGTTCCTGTGAATTAAAAAGTTGTACTGAACGCTCTTTCCAAAAGGAACAAATAAAATTTGAGGAATAATAAATCACCACTACTCGAGTAATCCGCAATATACCGCTCGAATTCCATGAAGGCCAACATTTGAAAAAATAACTTTTAAAAGAGGAGTTTCACGGGTACTTATTTTGCTTGATAATAGCAAAAGGCTGGCAGCTTTTATTTTTTATTGATTCGAAAAAAGTGTCTGTAAATGAATCACCCATAAAAAATTCATCTCGAAAGGAAAGTTTGGCTCAAAAAATTATCTAGGAGTATTGGGACGTTTTGACAAGCTCTCATTTATGACTAGCTTTCATTTAACTTGACCTGTTTGTTAGTGTGGACAGGGACAAATTATAGAACTAAATTTTGAAGCAGTTAACCCTAACCAATTGAGCTGATTTTTTCACTCACCTTGGGTTTGCCTTACAATACATAATGAGTTAAATGTCACCATTCTCAATCCAATATGGCGAATGCAAAAAAATACCTATCATATTCACAGTCTGGTTCTAATGAAAGGAATTGATGAAAGAAACGCAATAAGCAAATTGATGTCATTCTAAATACAAGATGGCGGCCGCCGCCGAATGGCGATTTACGTTTTTCGTAGTAATCCCTATGATATGGGTATCAAATGAAGGAGCTTGATGAAAGAAACGTAATAAGCAGAGTGAGGTCATTCCAAGATGGCGTTCATAATTCCAGCAGTTACCCCTATGATATCGATATTAAGTAGAAGCGCTTGATGAGAGAAACATAAGAAGTAACGTAACGACGTTCTAAATCCAATATGAGGCCGCCGCTAAATGGCGCTTTATACTCGTAATTCCAATAGTCACCCCTATACGAGGGATGTCTTTTAAGTTTTGCATATGGAAATAAAACAACACGGTAGGTAGTTTTAAATGACTTTATCGTTTTTCGAAGTATTCTCCACGAAGATTAATACACATGTGCATACGCTCGAACCAATTTTCGAAGCTCTTATTCCACTCGTTTGCTGGCAGATCCAAAACGACATTTTCGAAAGCGTCAACTGCTTGTTCTAGTGACTGGAACCTTTGACCATGCAGTCTGTTTTTAATTTTCGGGAAAGTAAAGAAATCGTTAGGACTTAGATCGGGACTATATGGAGGATGGTCCAATAATTCTACGTTTTCTTCCGTTAAATACTGCCTTGCTTTTTGGGCGGTGTGCGAGCTTGCATTGTCTTGGTGGAGGATGATTCTTCTTTCGGGGTTGATTTTTCGAACCTCGGTGATGACTTTTGGCAAACAAATGGTGGTATACCAATCCGCAGTAACAGTTCTTTGCTCATTAAAAGGAATTGTTGCGCTTTTGACACAAATGTCGCGACCATCTTTTTCGAAACACGTAGAGAACGGATAAGCTCTCTTGGCTTTTCTTCACCTTGGAACTCCCAAACAGCCGACTGTCGTTTATTTTCTGGTTCATAACACTAAATCCACGATTCATCACCACTAACAATGCTGTACATATTTTTTGAGTTTCCGGAATTGAAACGGTCAAGCGTTTTTTGACACCAATTAACCCTGGCTGCTTTCTGCTCTTCAGTCAACAGGTGGGGTATAGAACGAGAAAGTAATTTTCTTACTCCTAATTCTTCATGTAAATTTTTTTGAATTGAGGTATTTGATTTCTTCAAGGACGCCTCAATCTCGCGATATGTCACATGTCTATCTTCAATGATGAGTTTTTTCCTTTTTTTATATAATATAGTCCAACTACCACGAAGGACTAAGGCTTAAACACCCATTGGGTATCGTGGGGCTATAGGGGGATACAGGGGAAAGGGGGAACGCCACACGGACTCTGGCGAGGGAACACGTGTGCATGCAACATGTTCACATTCTGGCTCCGCCTACGAGATCCGCCGGTTGGTACCTCCGCGTTCGACAGTCAGAGACCATCTACCACCTACGGACAATCACAACATCCATAGCCAAGAGAAAAGTTTCTGCTGGGACGGGATTCGAACCCGCACAGCGCACGGCGACTGATCAGGAGACCGAAGAGTCTACTACTGCGACCACCGCTGCTGCCTGTTTGCACAGCATCGACGTTTTCCTGGGTGACTGCCATTTTTGGTGCACCCACCCTGGGATCATCGCTAAGACTCACCCGTCCACGTTTGAATTCTCCATGCCAACGGGAAATTGTCGACTGATGCGGCGCTTCGTTGCCGAAAACAGACAGTAACTCAGCAAGGCATTCTTGTTGCGATAATTGTCTCTGAAAGTTGTAATAAATTATGGCGCGAAAATGTTCTCGGTTGAATTACATTTTTCTAATGCCTTGGTGACACTTAAAAATTCACTGTAGTGAGAACACTGCACGTATTGTTGTGAAACTTTGAATTTAAGTTTACTAAAGAGTGAGGTTAAGATTCAGTACTGACGTTCGATACGCGCGGCCTACTATGATTCTATATGCAAAACTTGAAAGACATCCCTCGTACTATAGCTACCAAATGAAATAATGGCTTGATGAAAGAAACATGATAAGCAAGGTGACGTCATTCTGAATCCAATGTGGCGGCTACCGTCAAATAGCAATTTATAATTCCCATGGTCACCGCTATGAAATGGGTATCAGATGTGTTGGCTTAATGAGAGAAACACAATAAGAAAATAACGTCATTCTAAATTCCACCATCAATAAAGTAAGAAGTTTTATGGAG